TTGGATTACAAAAGACAAGAATATCTTTACCAGAATATTCGTCCATTTGTTAGAGATGAATTCAAAGATATTACTTGCCCAAGACCAATCTATACTGGCAATGAATAAAATATTTAGAATAAAATTACCTTTGTTACTTCACTTGTTAATTTGTTCCTTACTGTCATTAAGTTTAATAAATTTATTCTTTCAATGAATATTCCACTTTTAAAGCAAAAAAGTACTAAAATAATTATATACTTAGCATACCCTAAGGATATAAGTATATTAGAGCAAATAAATAAAAAAAATCATGGTAAACATAATAAATGAATTCCAAGAGAGAAATAAACAACTATTGGAAGAAAATGAAAATTTAAAGAAGCAATTAACAGATAAAGAACAAGAATTTAAATTAAGAATTTTAAATGCAGTTAATAATGTTATGGAAAATGAAAGTCCAGAAATTGCTGGCACTTTAATGACCTTACAAAAACATTTTTGAGCTTGAGATGAATGAGTAAAGGTTCAAAAAGAAAATGGAGTTGAGAAAGCTACTTTTAGTAATGAATTCACCTTTGAAAACATTGTTAAAGGCTTTACTGAATGAACCTTGCTTAGTTGTAATTCTCTCAGTTATTTTTCTGAACAAAATCAAAAACTTGAGAAAAAGAATACTGTTTTAGAAGAGAAAGTTGTAGGATTAGAACAAACCAAGCAAGAATTAGAAGCCAACCAAAAAGAACTGGAAAAAGAATTAGAGTTTGAGATGGCAAGTGCTGATTGCCACTTGGATGCTATTAATACTTGTAAAGACTGATATTTTACTCATCATGTTAATCCTTTAAACAAAGAATTGGTGAATAAGTCAAACTTATTATCTACAAAACAAAAGATAATTGAAAGAAAAGGTGAAGTAATTGGAGAATTAAAAAGTGAAATAAAAACAGAAAGAGAATTGCTAAGAAATGCTCGCAGGAAAATAGAGGATCAAGACAAATTAATTAAATTGTTTGAAAAGCCTTTGCCTGAAATACCAAGTAAACCAAGTAAATTTAAAATTTTTAAATCAAAGATAAAAACTAAATTCCACCACTTAGTAGAAAAAATTAATCATCAAAATCAAGAATTAGTTGCTCAAGTAGAAGTTAGAAATCAAGATTAAAAGCAGTATGAAAGAATTGCTTTATACAATGTTAGAATTGGAAGAGTGAAATAAAAATTCAACTTGCTGTTTTTGTTATAACAAATCTGTTTGCCAAATTCGAACTCGGAACAAAATAACTCATGAGATAATTGCTAATGATGAAGCATGTGAAAACTGTAAAGAGAAATTTGAAAATGATGAGTTAGAAAAGTGTGAGAGATGTGGAAGGTTGAAAAATAGGCACAGTTATGTTTGTCATTGTATTGTTGATAATGAAAATGTTGATGAAAAAGAACTCCCTATTTTACCTCATGAGGAAAGAGAAGCAACTTTTTATGAAAGACAAATAAACTCTTTGCGAGAAGAACTAATCACTACTGAGGAAGCACTTGAAATTGAAAGAGAAGAAGTAGTCAAATTTCAAGAAAAATCTGAAGAGTGGAGTAAAAAACAGAAACAGGAGTTATTGGATAAAGTAAAGGGTTTAGAAGAAAAAATTAAGCAACTAGAAGAGGAAAACAAGTCATTAAAAGATCAACAGAATGGTCAATTAATTGCTTGAATTGAAGTCAAAGAGACTAAAAGATGATCTTGATTGAAAATAAAAAAGTAATTGAGGAAATTTCCCTCTGTATAAATTGAAGTTCATTTCCAACTATCAAATGGTAGTTATTTTCCTTTTAAAGATTTTTGTTGTTTGTTGGGTAATAACATACTTTCATTCTGGTTTCTTTTTCTAACATTTATTATTTTTCTCTCTTCTTGGTAAATTTCATAGGTAATCTTTTCTTTTCTTAAATAAGTTTCAAGTGTCTGAGCATCATTTATTTTGAAATATAAGGTGCAATCTTTTCCCCTTGTTCTTTCTTCAAAATACTTCTGATAGTACTATAATTCTTGGGTTCCATAGTAGATCTAATGTAAATTAGTTTCATATTATTATTTTATATAGGGGTAGTTCTATATATCACTTAAGATAACAGATGGATATTATAAAACTAATTGTGATGATAATAGCTAAATTTTGATCCCTGAAATTTTTGGTAATACCAATGTTCACTTTGTCTTGTTTTGTTGCAGCATATCCCATATTATATATACACATTGAATTTTTTGTTCGCTGTGATCAACGTTACACGTTCCATATAAATCTTGATTTTCCTTAAACTTTTCTAATTTTGGTAAAAACCTAAATTTTATTTTGTCACATTTTATATCCAATAAAATCAAACTTCCACCATGCTTTGCAAAGCATGGTGAAATAAATGATCTTATGACTTTGATGACCAGTCATGGTCATTATATCTAATACAATGACCAAATACAAGGCCATATAACATCGAGCTGCATCATTGGCACCTTCTGATGAACCAAGTGTAATAGATTTTGGTGATGACAATGATCTGATACTGAAGTTACTGATGAAGAAATAACTAGCTGTGTAAGACCAACGCCCGAGACTGAGCCAGGAGATACAAAATACTGTGATTTCCTATGTTAAAAATCCTCCTCAAATCTTGAAACAAAGCTACGTTAGATAATTGATTTACAAAATAAATTTTATCATTGTGTGTGCTATTCACTTTGGTTGCAGCATGCCCCATATATTCCTTTAATAGTGATTTAGAAATTAATTACAATAATGATAATAATATAATAATTTAATAATAATAAATAATAGTGATTTAACAATTAATTATAATAAATAAATAAGTGATTAATTTAATAATCTTCAACTTGAATAATCTGCATCATTTTTGTAAAAAGAGAAATGCTAGCAAATGTTAAAGAATTAACAAAGAAAAAATCAAATTAATTTTGTCTATCAAGATTTGAGTCCATTTGAAATAGTATCTGGCAAAGGTTTTTTGAGATCTTATTCAAAAAATGATTAGTATATATGTGGTGCTTTATCTGTTAAAAATGTAGGTGGTGCTTTACTACCAATTGCTGGACAGATGATTATCAAATGATCAGTAATATATCTTTAACGGTACGTTATATAGAAGGTTGACATTTAAAAGAACATTTCATAATCAAAAAATTTTTTTGAAAATATATAATTTATATATTTGTTAGAGACTCTGTTTCTAATTTTGTTGCAGCTTTTAAAAGTCTCAATCACTTACATTGTATATCCCATAGGTAAATTTATATCTCTATTAAATATTTTATTATAATCAAAATCAAATCAAATTTATTTATTTTAGAGTTAATACTATATTGGAAACTTTTTTTAAAGAAGATAATTTTTTGCAATTTCCTTCTATCATCAAAGAATGTAGGTAAAAAAAGTTCTTTATATTGTAAATCGGAAAATCTCTTAAGCAGGATTCGGAAACTAGATGGAATAATAAACTAGAAACGTTAGATCGAAAAGAATTGAAGCAAGTGATATTGCTATTATATAAATTTTCTGAAAAAATTTCATGAAGCTAATGAATATTTAAAGGCATCAAAATATCCAACAATTCATCTTGTACTTCCTTTGTATAAAATTCTTTTAGTTCATTGTCATGTATCATCATCAGATGGAGAGAAATTTTAAAACAAATCAAACTGGTGGTTAATAAACAAAATTAAATTTCTTTCAATTTTTCTTCAAGCCAAGATCATTTGCAAGGAGAAAGTTGATTTTAAAAACATCCACCCCCACCTGGGATGGGGAGATTGCTAATGGATAGCAGTTACACCTCAAATAGTGAGGTTTTTGTGCACCACCTACAGGTGACTAAGTTAACTAGTTTATATTTGAGCTTTCCCAACAGGGGAATCAAGTCGGTGTATATTCTCTCTGAAAAAAGATCTCCAAATAGATTTTATATATAAATAATTAGCATTTACTCAACATCCAATATAATTGGATGTTGATCATCCTAAATTTGCTAATATACTAATATATATATTTATTATGATTAAAAATAAATAAAATATTCTCCATAAATTTTAAAAATGATTGATTGATTGATCATTTTGTTACATTATCAACTTTTTGTATGACAGAATTCAATAATGAATTACCATTAATAAATTGTGTGGTGGCAATAACATATTCACGATGACCTTTTTAAAAATATTTTTTTTTTGTAATTAATACATATAATGTATATATATATATATATATTTAAAAAAGTTCATTATTAACTAACCTTCATCTTGTTGTGCCAAAAATCTTATTGCAGAAATTTCAGTAAAAGTACAACCACCCAAGAAAAATATTAAAGTAACATGTGGTTGATGACCCTGTATCAATCCTAATAACAATGTCAAAGATAAATTTAATTAGAATTTTCTTTTTATCATCTAAAATTTTTTCCAATAATAATGATAATAAATAATAATTTACTTTTATGATGAATAGCACCATCATCCTTTTGAATTTCATCAAAAATTTTTCCTGGTAACGTTCTCATAACTTCTTCATAACCTTTCCATCCATTGCCTTTTAAACCAATAAAACCTCCGCTTGTAAAATTACTAATTACTCCACCTCCAGTATTACCAATTACTGATGGTCCACCTTTTGTTGTCACACATTGTATTAGACGTACACTCAATGGTGCATAACATGAATAGACATAGGCAATATCCTGAGGATTATGTTCATCTACATCATCAACAATTAGTTTAAGTGTCTTACGAATATAATTGTATGGATTACGTGTAGAAACTTGTTTAATAAACATGTTTAATTTTTCAAGATTTAAAAGAGTTTGAATATGATGAAATCCATATGTCTTTTTTTGGGGGGTGAAGTATTAATAATGCATATAACTTAGTGATCGTTTTTGATGAGAAAAGGACAATACAAATATTTATGTACAGTACCTGTAAAATTTCTTTCTTAAAAAACTCAAAATTTTTTTGTTTCAATCCATTATTAACCAAACTTTGTAAACATAATAGTCGTAAAACTTGTACTAATGGAACTTGTCTATTGATCATCTCTTCAATATATTCATTTTGCGAGTTTATGTCATTACCGGCAACAAGATCTACACACAATATTAATGTGTTTAGATATGTAAACGTAAATAATTAATTCAACTAATAACTTAATAATTAAAATGTATGGTACATACTCTGTTGAACTTCAAGAGCTTTATTAAATTCAGGTGTAACGGTGTAGGCTACTATCTCTTCTGCAATTCCAGTGTCTAAATAATTTAATTAATTAAGGAAAATATGCACTTCTTTTGATAAAGATGTCACTCTTTCAGAAAATAAAGGATACGAGTTTTTAATGATTGATGTTCTGATTGTAATCCACCCAATTTACCAACAAACTCACGAACTTGTGACACAGTCTTTGCTTGATGTCTTACCTAAAAAAAAAATCAAGAATATATATATTTAATTTAAAAATAAAAATTCATGTTTAGAAATAATAATTATATACCTCATAATCTTCATTAATTCTTTTGGCAACTTGGTTGAGAACTCCGCCAACAACAGCAAAATTCATGTCTCTCAATCGGGAAAAAAGCTTATCACCTGAATTAAGTGGAATTTTCTTCTTTTTTGCTTGAGGTTGAGCAGGTGTTTGAGACGATGGTGTGCTTGTGTTTGAGAGAGATGAGTTGGCTGCAGGACTTGCTGTAGGATTTTGTGGTGTGATTCCCACTAATGAAGAATCAACTTCCACATGCGATGCTCGAATACCAAAAACTTCATCTATCAATCCTTCATAAGTTAATTGTGTACAAAGTGGTGTTATCAGATCAACAGAACGATCAATGATGATAAGAGAATCCACATTTTGGGAGACTGGCATTGTGCAAGATGGATCATCAACAGCCACTTCTCGGCGCATACGTAAGAGCATGTCTGCTAAATGCTGTGTATAATACATATGCAAATTTATTAATAGATAAATAAATTATAGAATAAATTTTACTGCCATTGAATTCTTATCTCACCTTTGCACAATCACCTTTACCAATAACTCTTGGAAACAAACCAAATAAAGTTTGCAATCTCATCAAAGCTCTTGCTGCATAATATATGGAGGTGTAGTCACCATCCTTTAAATAATTACTAATTAATTAGATTTCAACAATCTTTTTCAAAAAAATTCAAAAATTTCCATCCGAAAAATATACCAAATAAAGCTCTTTGAATGTATTGTCTAATTCCAATGATAATAAATCATCTTCAAAGGGTATCAAATCTAAATGATACTCGCCAATAGTTATATGTAAAAGAAAATTAGTCAAGGAATTCATTTTATAAAATAAAATTTTTGCAAAGCAAGGTTAAAGAGGGAGGGAATAAAAATAAGGATATCTCCAAATACACCAGCTTCTTCCAAAACTCTAGTACAAATCATAGTTCTTCTTGGTACAAAAAATAAATTATATTCATATTTTTGACTTGAATTATTGTTATCAGGATTTTGTAATAGTTCTTTCTGGTGGTATTGTATATGCTCTATAATACCAAAACTAATTTTTATTTAATTTTTTTTTTTTGCAAATAAATCAATCATCACATGTTTTTAAATACCAGCAATATATTTCATATAATGTAATTGTGGTCGACATATATAAATTATGCTTCTAAGTTCAGTATCTAAAGGTCCTGCTTGAAGATAATGTACTCTTTCAACACCATGATCCTTTTTTAAAAAAAAATGATCAGTAATTAATTTTATTGAATTGAATTGATAAATAATGATTGAATATTTCACATACTCTTAATAAAGGAAATTCAGCAATTAGATTTAAAGGAGCACTAATATTTGGATCCAAAACTAAACATTTTTTTCCTCTAACCTGAAGAATTTTGATAATGTTTTATATTTGAATTTTTTACAATTCTTTGTAGCTTGTGAAAATTTTCAAACAAGTATATACCGAGTCCAAGACAGTAGTTAATTCTTTCCTAGCAAGTTCTCTCAAGGTGGTAACATTCAAGGAGGAATTAGTGGTTCCTAAATGAGACATTTTTTTTTGAGTAAAATTTTTTAATAAATGAAGTGTCCTTATTATAATAGGACATAATGCAACAAACAGACAAAGTGAACATTATATCACTTAAAAATTTCAGGGTTCAAAATTTAGTGTAATTGCGATGATAATAATAGAAATTGTTTTTGTAAATTTTTTGATCTATATATACATCGTGAATTTAAATTTTTTTATATATCTAATTACACTTCCTGTGACATATCGTTTGACTGTTAATGTGACAAATCGTTCGACTAATACACTCCCCTAAAAAAAGTATTGACTCACTTGATGATCCGCGAAAATAATCGGGTAAATGGGTAATACAAATACTCATTTTTTTACTAAGCAAATCGATGTTGTGTATTAGTGAGAAAATGTTTAACGAAATGATTCCTATAACATTCTAAAATACCACATCGGACCGATCGTTATTGATAATTTTATGATGTTTAAAAGTCAATTTAAAATTTTTCGAAAATTTTTCGAAAAAGTTGCACTTAGAGCTATTTTAAGATACAATGTTTTAACGCATCTTCGGAACTTAGAAAATGTTGTTCCATTTGTTTTCAAATATATAAATATGAATGTTCATAATTATTGGCAGAATATTCATAGAGAATTAATACAAAACGCAAAAAAAATCGTAACGAATTTCATCCACAATTTGCATAATATTTTACATAATAAATTTTTATTAAATTTATATCAAAAGTATCCAAAAAGTATAAATTTTTGATTATTTATTCAATATTTTGTCGGGTTTCCTTTTGAATCAATTACAGCTTGAACCCTTTGAGGCATGCTGTCTACTAATTTTTGCAAATAATGACGATCAAGATTAGCCCACTCTTCCATCAAAAAAGAAACTAATTCATTTGTATTTTTTGGAGGATTCCTTTTGCGAATTGCTTTTTCTAATTGGTCCCAAACATGTTCTATTGGATTAAGGTCTGGGCTTTGAGCAGGCCAAGGGAGTGAAGATATTAAATTTGCCTCTTTCCATTGAATTACTACACCAGCTGTATGAACAGGAGCATTGTCATCCTGAAATGTAAAAGAACCATCTCCCAGTCCGTTAAGAAAGGGCAATAGATTATCTCTAAGAAGTTCTTGATAACCTTTACCATTAATTTTACCATCTATTACCACCAAAGGTCCTAGACAATTATTAACAAAACAACCCCATACCATTATACCACCTCCACCATGTTTAAAGGTAGGTACAAGGCAATCAACATCATACTTTTCTTTCGGTAGACACCAGACCCTTTGCCTACCATCATTTTGATGCAAATTATATCTTGATTCATCACTCCAAATGACATAATTCCATTCTGTGTTCCAATTCTTCC